GTGGGAGCTTAGATTGTTAATATAAGACTTTTCCTCCTTTTAGTGTATACTTTTAGTACTATAAATTTCCTTCTCAGCCCTACATTAGTGGTGCCCCACAGATTTTGATATATAGAATTTTCAGTTCCATATTTTCTTTTCTTTTGAGACTTTCTGTGACCCATGAATTACTTAGAAGTGTGCTGCTTAGTTTCCAAGTGTTTGGAGATTTCCCTGCCTTTCTGTTACTGCCTTTTACCTTGAATTCATTATGGTTAGAGAACACACTGAATGGTTTCAGTTCTTTTCAGTGCATTGAGGTTTGTTTTGTGGCCCAGGTTATGATCTATCTTGGCATATGATCTATAGGCACTTGAAAAGAACCTATATTCTCCTGTTTTATGTAGGATAATTTACAAATTTCCTTTAGATCCTTTTGGTTGATAGCATTGTACATTCTTCTGTATCCTTTCTGATTTTCTGTCTAGTTGTTGTATTGTTGAGAGATTTTTGACTCCTCCAGCTATAATTGTAGAATTTCTTTTTTTATATCTGTTTCTGCTTTACATAGTTTGCAGTTCTGCTATTACATTTAAGACTGCTATATCTTTCTGTCATTCTATAATGCCCTTCTTTGTCTCTATTAATTTTCTTTCCTCTGAATATTACTTATCTAATAGTAATATAGCTATTCCTTCTTTCCTTTAGTTAATGTTTCCATGATATATTTTCTCCATCCTTTTACTTCCAACTTGCCCGTATTATTATATTTGGAGTAAGTTTCTTATGGACAGCTTATAATTAGGTCATGATTTTTAATCCAGTCTGCCAATCTCTTTTTGTGTTCACCTTTTTTGAGTCAGAATCTCACTCTGTCACCCAAGCTGAAGTGCAGCAGCAAGATTACAGGTACTGCAGCCTTAACCTCCAGGGCTCAGGTGATTCTCCTACCTCAGCCTCTCGAGTAGCTAGAACTACAGGTATGCACCACCATGCCTGGCTAATATTTTTTATTTTTTGTAAAGACAAGCACTCACTATGTTGCCCAGGCTGATATCTTTTTAATTATATAATTAGATCATCTACTTTTAATGTATTTATTGATAGGTTAGGACTTAAATCTGCCATTTTATTTTTGGTTTTCTGTTTGTTCTCTGTGTTTTCCCTATTTTCTTGTTCCTGCCTTCTTACAGGTTGCTTATGTGTTTTTTAGAATTCTGTTTTGACTTATCTGTAGCATTTTTTGAGTGTTATCTCTTTGTATAGCTTTTTTAGTGTTGTTTTAGTTATTACATTTTGTCTACATAACCTTTCACAGTCCTCTGAGGCCATGATTTTACCAGTTCAAGTGAAGTGTAGAAACCTTATTGCCCTTTATATTCCTTTGCCTTCCTCCAATTGTCTTAAATATTTCCTCTACCTACATTTAGAACTCAATCAGATAGTTTACATCAATAATTTTTGCATCAATCACCAAACATAATTTAGAAAACTCAAGATGTAAAGAAAATCTTGTTTAGCCATATTTTTGCTTACTGCATTCTTTCTTTTTTTCTAATGTTCAAAGATTTCTTCTTTTATCATTTCCTTTCTGTTTTGATAACTTCCTTTAGCCATACTTTTAGAGTAGTTCTATTGGATACAAATTCTCTGAGTTTTCCATCATCTGAGAATGTCCGAATGTTCCTGAAGGATGGGTTTTCATTTGGGTATAGGATTCTGGGATGACAGTTGTTTGCTTTGAGTTCTTGAAAAATGCTTCCTTCCAGCCATCATGGTTTCTGATGAGAAATCTATCATTCTAATTGTTTTTCCCCTATTGGTAAGATACCTTTTCTCTGGCTGATTTCAAGGTTTTTTTATTTGTCTTAGTTTTCACAAGTTTGATTAAGATGTGTCCTGACGTAGATTCCTTTGTGTTATGCTGCTTGCGGTTTGCTTTTTTGTTTGTTTTATCAATAGGTTTGTGTCTCTTGTCAAATTTGGGAAGTTTTCAGCCATTGTTTCTTAGAGTACTTCTTCAGCCCCTCCCTTTTTCTCCTTTTGATAACACAAATGTTAGATTTTTTGTTATAATTACACAGGTCCCTGAGGCTCTGGTCATCATTTTTCATAATTTCTTTTTCTATATTCAGGTTTGCTGATCATTGCCTGCCTCCCCTTTTCTACTGTTGAGCCCATACCCTGGGCTTTTTATTTCTATTTCTATATTTTTCAGGTCCGAAGTTTCCATTTTGTTCTTCCTTGTAGCTTCTGTTTCTTTGCTGAAGCTTTGTTTTTTTCGTTTGTTTCAAGCATGTTTATAATTGCTCATTGAAGCATTTTAATGATGGCTACTTTAATATATTTGTCAGATAATTCCAACATCTCTGTCATCTTGGTGTCATCTGTTAATTGTTTTGCTGGTTTTTTCATTTAATTTGAGAGATTTCTGGTTCTTGATATGAAGAGTGGCTCTAGATTGAAACCTGGATCCTCTGAGTATTAATGTTCTGAAACTCTGGATCTTGCATAAACCTTTTCTTTTGGCTGGATTTCTCTTACCCATTCTGGCAGGGGAAGACGAAGGGAGGTGCCCCACCTTATCGGTCAAGGTGGAGTTAGAAGTTCTGGTTTCCTGCTTGTCCTCTGTTGACACCAAGGGCAGGAAGGCTCCTCATTACTGTTGAGGAGAGCTAGGAGTTCTGGCTCCCCACATTGCTTCTGCTGCACCTACTGGGCGGTGGTGAAAGTCCTGACTCCGCTAGACCTCCTCCTTTACTACCTCGGTGGGGAATAGAGGGAGGGTTGGCTCCTTAGTACCTTGCAGCAGGGGGCTGTTCATTACCCACCAGCTGGGATGAGAAATTCAGTTCCCTACCTAGCTCTCCCTGACACCACCATGGCCAGCATATTGGGGTATCTGACTATAAGGTGGTGATCTTACAAGAGTAGAAGTCCAGGCTTCCCACTTGGTCTTTGCTGGAATGGGTGGTGATGGCACCACAGTTCTTACTGCAGTGTTTGGCTGGAGCAGAGTGATTTTGTCTTGCTGAGCTGCCCTTTTCCTTCCTCTTTGGCTAAAGAGAGCTGGCTTTTGTTGAGGCATTCTTGTTTGTGCCTGTTTATGTTTCTAGGTGGATATGTGTGGCATATCCTAAGGGTCTCTCAGGGAAGAGACCCTTAGGAACAAGCTTGCCCCGAGAGTCAGCTTATTCACCCGCCAAGCAGCAAGAGGCTTACTAGATGTGCAGGACAGTGACTGCCTGCAAGTAGACATGGGCTATGCAATCTAATCATCAGGCGAGCAGTCTCTTCTCTTGGGAAAGCACGTTTTCTCCCCTCCCACCAATGTTTGAACTTGGGAATCCAAGCAGCAGAAGAAATCATACCTTGCACTGGAGTGACTTCAAGCCCAGGTGATTGGATTGATGTTGATTAAGCATAGCAGTGATCTCAGCCTGGTTGCACAGTGGGATCCCTGGGTCCCATCTAGAACTCTTTGGTCAGCATCTCTCAGGGTGGGGCCCAGACAGCAGGCAGTATGTTTTGAATGCTCCTAGGTTATTCTAAAGTGTGTATGGCTAAGACCCATTATTATAGACTGAGAACCCAAAAGATGTTTTCAGGATATTTAACTGGAACATTTTAGATTTAAATTGCTTATGTTCAGTTAATGAACTGGAACTCCCTGAGGAGAATATAAAGAGAGAAAGAAAATGTTCCAAGGGCAGATTTCTAGGAAACACCAGCGAAGATGAAGCCAGCAAAAAAGTTGTCAGAAGAAGGTGTTTGTAGTCGGGCCCAGTGGGGAGAGTGCAGGGGCACATTCTACAGTGTCAGAGAGTCATGGAGAATGAGGAGGGAGAGAGGAAGCCAATTAAGGGGTTATTCTTATCCTTTTCAAAATCATACTTGTTAACATACTGGGGACAGAAGTATAAGTGCTACATGTTAATTTAATAAAAGATGAGGATGTGGAGGTAAAAAGTGTAGAAAGCTCTTTTACCTTTTTTTACCCATGTTTTCAACTTAACTATTGGTTTCTTAAATATTTTTCCTTCTGTGTCTATCCATGGCTTAAAAATTTGCATTTAATTTTTTTTAAAATGTTGTTTTCAGCCCTTCCCTGTTTATTATAGAAATTTCAGGTTATTGTAAATGTTGATTATTTATGCAGATTATTGCCTCTAACCCAAGGACCCTAAGCTTGATAAAATTATATAATTGCAAGTGAGAAATTCATTGTAAGGGGTACTCATCTTGATCACATGGGAACATTTAGATATTTTCTGCATGGGCTGTTGAATTCTCAGAATCTGAGAAATCCTGGGTTTCATGAGTGGAACAAGACAGGCCCCTAAGTATTAAGGAACTCGTACCTTTCAGGGTGGGTCAAAGGCTATTATAATTAAACCAGCTAGTCAGTCTTCTGCTGGAATGAAGACCTCCAATTTTTGAAACTGAATGTCCCAGTTATGGTTTGAAATCTAACACTTCCTAGAATTAGTCAATGTTAAAATGACATTCCTGGAAGTCAGTCAGAGCTCAAGATTTGGGCCCAGTGGCCATTGTGGCGTCACTGCCAGCCCTCTTAGCACACCTCAAGGGACACGTGTGGGCAGTTCATTATTTATGTCACCATCAGGCTGCCGTCTCCCAGCAGATTTGAAAGGATCTGTGGTTTTCACTTCTATGACTTTTCCAAGCTCCATCACCTTTTGGGGAATATAAAAGCATTCTCACACAGGCATACAGATTTGTCAAAGCTGCTGAGTTTGTCCAAACTGATTGAACTATACACTTAAAGTGGGTGCATTTGATTATATGTAAGTTGTGCCTCAATAAAGTTGATTTTTTAAAAAAACATTCTCACCACAAAGGCAGACATGACTTGGAAAACTTTAATTAGAGAAGAAATAAAGAAAGAAACTCTTATTGGTCAGAATAGAGTCCAGCCTCTTCAAAAAGAAATTTGTAATGGTTTTGCTTTCTAAGCTATTTAAAAATCAAGAGTTATTTTACTTAATTCTCGTCCCTAGGGAAAGGAAAACCTCTTCAACGCAAGGTGAAACCACCTAAGAAACAAGAGGAAAAGGAAAAGAAGGGAAAGGGAAAGCCACAGGAAGACGAGCTGAAAGACTCTTTGGCTGACGATGACAGCTCCTCCACCACCACAGAGACCTCCAATCCTGACACAGAACCACTCCTCAAGGAGGTATGGGGTGATCTCATGAAACAAAACGAGGAAAAAGAAATGTCTCCTGCAGAGCACAAAATCTTCTGTCTTGTAGATTCTGATTTTAATACAAAATTAATGTTTTATATCTAACATGCATACCTTCTGAGGATTTGTTAATGTGCTCTGGCTGCCTAAAGAGTCATTCCTCTGGAGCAACCAGTCACTTCATGTCCTCCAGAGAACATTTGGAAACATTTAGAAAAGGAGTCAGAAACTAGAAACACTGCATGCAAATTCGGGACTATCTGGAATAGTAACTGTTTTACCTCATGAAATTTGTTTCACATTTTAAGTATCAAAAGAGAATAAAAGGACTTGTACCATTTTGCTATGTTAGGTTTTTCCTGTCATATATCACTGCTAGCACCTGCTGTAAGCAGGGTTTTGGTTGCAGCTCATTTCCCAAGCAGGTAGAGTGGTGACTGTCCTGGAGGAAGTGTGACCCAAGGAAAGACCCCAGGCTTTAATGGTCACCCGGTACTAGGAGACCAGCCTAGCCTAGGACACATGGGCACATCCAGAAGGCTTCCTTACCAGCCTGAGGCCTCAGCCTCCAGGGTGGTTCTTCGTATCAGGAATAGCATTACAAATGTCTGGTCCATAGTGGTCCTTGGAAAACAGAAGTTCTAGTTACTGTTGTGAATATGTCCACGAGTAAGTTACATGGGGTGTGCAGGAAGGGGAGCATATGATTTCACTTTGGTGGTTTTGTTTTTAGATAAATATGTTTCAAACCTAAAATGATCATAATAATAGCTTTTAATGTTGTAGACCAGAATTTTAGTTTTAATCTAGTGACCTAAGGAATCACTTCTTGAAGATTTGCATCAGTCATCTGCATGCATTAATTTTTAAAACAAAATGTCTGTGTAACTTTCCGTGTCATCTGTCTTCCCCCTTGCATTCCCTCATAGTTGGCATGCTCTGTCTACCCTTAGTCTTACTCAGGCCTGGTACTGGAGGCTGGTACTTTTGTTTCAACAAATTACCTCAGAGAAGTGGAAAACACTCTGCTGATCTGTGAGTGGAATTCCCACAGTTTCGTTCTGTGAATAAGCATTTGGAAGATTTATCAGCCCAGGCTTTCTTCACAACTTTCCCTCACTTCCCTTCCTACCTGTGCTGCCTCTCTCTGCTCCCTCCCCAGCAGCCTCCTCCAGCTGCCAGTGTTCTGGGTGCACCCATTGGCTTCACTGTCAGTGCTCTCTTGTTTGTTCCCTCCTTTTTCTCCACCTCCTTCCATGCCATTTGCACACGCAGCTGGAACTCACATCCTTCATGAGGCCTCCGTGCCTGCTTACCCCATCCCCTTGGATGAGTTTTTACTCCTCCAGTTCAGTGTGCTTTCATGGAGGCCGTGTGCTCATATTTCTTTGTGAGTGATCTCAGTCTGCCAGTTATGTGTATTTTCTACCCAACTAGATTACAACGTTATCAGGCATTTCCTCTTGTGTGTCTTTTCCAGCTCTGATCTACCCATTCAGTCCACACATATGTATTGAGCATCCACATGCCAGGCCATGTGCTAAGTGCCTGGGCAATGACAGTGAACAAAAAGGCCATGTCCTTGTCCTCAAAGCACTCACAGTCTACAGAGTACCTGGTGGGTCATGTGTTTGGGCAATACTTCATGAATAACTCAAAATAGTTTCAAAAGATACATGAACCAGAGGGATATTTTAGCTCTAGTTCTCGTTATTTACTTTTGAGGTTAACTAGATTAACCTAGTCTGACCTAGTCAAACTCGGGCTCCCTTAATAGCCACAAACCGTAAAACTGTTGAGTAGAAGCTAATTTACCACACGCTTGTAACTCCCCTACTGCCCGCAGCTGTCCATCATTGCTGTTATGTTCTTTCCCTCCCTGTCCCCATTACCCCAGTGCATCTGTTCTTGAACACAGCGCTTCTCAGTCTGTCTGTGGCATAGAACAAGGTTGCCTATAGTACATAGCCCTCTCCATGTGCAGCTCCCAGGTAAGTTGGACAGTACCTAATGGATATGCACCCTGTTCGGGAGACAGGTCCACTGATCTCAGACTTGATTGCTACAACAATGTTAGAGTACTGTAAAAATACATAGGGCAGCCTCTGGGCTTATCTAGTCATGGACCAGAAACAGCAGTTGGTAGGCCAGTTGAGGCACAACTTTAAGAGGCAGCTTGAGTATGGCCTTTCTGGTCCAGACTCACATTTGAGCCTGGCAAGATAGCCCTTCTCTGCGCCAGTCATGGTAGAAGTCCATGCTAACCTGTCATGTGTCTCCCTCCTGCTAGATTTCACAGTCCTTGAAGAAAGAGATGGGGTCCTCTTGGTAACCCCATTGCCTGACACCAGCTGAATAACAAGTAAATGTTTGTTGACCAGACGAATGAATAACTAAGCCTCCTTCCATTGGTGGTGAATAGTTGTTAGCATTAAACCTGCCATAGCACTGCTGCCAGTCCAGGAGCAGTGTGGGGAATGGAGGCAGGTGTGAACACACCACGTGCTACTGGCACTACTTTCTTGCCTGAGAGTTGGGCTCAGGATTAGGCACGTGTCTGGAAGCATTTGACTTCATATTGGAGTGTTTGCTGACCTTTTCTTCTGAATAAAAACAAGGTTTTCCTCTCGAATAATTAAAAAATAGAAAGCTACCAATTTGCTGCTGCCACTACCCACTCCAGTCAGGAAATGAGTGTGAATTAAAGCGGCATCCTTTATAACTCAACTCACCAAAATATAACTTTAACTTTATTACTCCAACTCGCCAAAATATAAATAAAAGAAGGGTGAAAAATGAACAGAACTGCAATAAAGATTTGTTGTTTGTTTTTTGAGTCAAGGTTTTACTCTGTCACCCAGGCTAAAGTGCAGTGGCACAGTGGCTTACCGAAGCCTCGACCTTCTGGGCTCCGGTGATCCTTCTGCCTCAGCCTTCCGAGTAGCTGGAACTACAGTCACACACCACCATGCCTGGCTAATTAGATAATTAGATAAGGAGTTTGTCATACACATATATGCAGTGTATGTTATATCTTAGGTTTTGTATCTGTATCTTCAAATGGGACTAATTTTAGTCATTTTGTTAATCCTTCTAGCAATTAAGTGTGCATTTGTTTACAGGATACAGAAAAGCAAAAGGGAAAACAAGCCATGCCTGAAAAACATGAAAATGAAATGTCTCAAGTGAAGCAAAAAAACAAAAAACTCTTAAATGTTAAGAAAGAAATCCCAGCAGATGTGAAACCCAGGTGAGGAAAATAAATGAGTGCAGAGAAATAAGGTATATAAAGGAGTGCTGGTGAAAGTCAGGTAATGTTTTATTTGGTTGTTGGCTTTTGTGGGGGTTGGGGGTGTAGCAAAAGCCCGGTACTATGTCACCTTCCTCTTGGGTTTTTCTGTTGCCTAATGTTCACTGTTCAGACATGTAAAGGGCAGAGTTAACAATCTGTTGAGAAAATTTAGGAGGAAAACTTAGGCTGGTACTTTGTTCCCAGGCCAAGAGCCATTTTACTGCTGTTCAAAAGGTGAACTTGATGGTTGAACCTCGGGTAAAGCAGAACTTTTCTCAAAAAGAGCTCTGAGTCTGTCAAATCGCTCTCCCAGTGCTGCAGTTGGGATCTAGAGTCTGTGTCATAAAACTTGGAAGAGTTTATTCTTTTTTTTAATTTTATTTTTTTTGAGTTGGAGTCTCACCGTCGCTCAGACTGGAGCGCAGTGGCCGCTCCCAGATGGAAGAGTTTATTCTTAAAAACATATTCTAAAAACATGTTCAGGGCAGATGCTGCCAGTCAGACAGTTCTGCCATTAATTAACTCCACTTCAGTTCCTAGGATGGGATGCAGGGAGGCCCCGCAGGGAGAGCATGCTGCAGAGTATTTCCCTAAGGAGATGCATGCATTGAACTGGGTCATTAACTGAAGTTACTTCATGTTTTTATTAAGCCTTGTGTCAGCATCTACTGATAAACTAATTTTAGTGTTGGCATCATTAGTAATGTCTTTCCTAGTTCATCATATAGAATGTTTCCATCATATAGCCAGTGTTTGCCTTCTAGCTAGTGATGAGTAGGAAGTGATCCAGGAAGTCAAAGGCATTAGGTATAAATTTTAAAAGAAAACATAGCATTATCATTAGTTTTGGCCTTAGATTTGTGGAAGACCCATTCTTACTTTGATTCTGGGAATAATACTTGAGCTTTGCAAAAGCACCATTAACCTAGACTCTATCCCTAAATTACATAGCCTCCCTCAGGCATGGCCAGTCCTGTTTTATAGAAACAAAAGCTAATAAGAAATTAATGATTACTGCAGTAAAATTTAACCTTGTCCCTGGACTTATGAAATAAGAGAGCATATGGCAGTGATTAGTAATGGAGTATTTGTACCTAAAATTTAATCTTTTGTGGAAATTGTTACTTGAAGTTACTCAGTCCCTCCATTAGTTGAGAACATTCTGGCCCAGTTAGAAGGAATGTCAAGTGATGTCAAGTGGTTGATCATTTGAAGGGGGAGAGAGGAGCGACTGCCTCTTCTGAAGAGGAGGCTGACACACTTGCTCCCTCCTGAGAGAAATCCACCTGAGACACTGACCAGTGCTGATATTCTGAAAACCTGGGACAGGAATGATACCGGTCTGGTGGCTAGGGTATTCTTCTGCTAGGCCTATTTCAGGCAAAGGTGATTGATCAGATATTTTAAAGTAAATGAAGCTACTAAGTCCAAATAATGAAAAATCCTAGTTTTTACATATGCGGAAGTCTTGTGAGAGTAGACAGTTATACAGTAGTTCTTTTGGTCATAAATGTAAAACCAGTATATCTAATAATTATCTCCGAGATGCTATTACATAGCTGGCTGTCACCAAATTGGCCCTGTTTATTAACCCTGATGCCTAAGCTTACTACCTGAAAAGGTAATGTTTTTTAAACAGATAAGACATGTTAATCCTAGTCCTTTTCCATTGGCTCGTGTTGTATTCTGGGTTGGTTGGTTTTTTTTATAAGTTTATCATTAGCAGATTTGAATTTGAAAAGTCTGTAAAAGACTTCACTTGAGAGCCACTGCCTTTGCAGGACTTTGCATTCTCTGGCAAACCAAATGCTGGAGTGGTCAGTCAAGAGGCAGTACAGCAGTCACCTAGATTCTCTTGATATGTAGTTAGAAGAGAAATCATTACCAGAAACAATTCAAGCAGTGTGCTGTAAATTGTCTTTTGTAACTGGAGAAATTCATACGTACCATCGGTCTTCTAATCTCTTTAAACTCACTGATCTGGTAGATTTCTGAACTCAGGGGGAAAATTATTGAGAGTCTGAATTCATTAGTACATCAACCAAATATAGAGTTAATCAAATACTTTTTTTGTTTTTGATTTTTTTTAATAACCACGTAATGGTGATAGTAAGTGCTATGAGCTGTCACTCAGGTATCACGGCCTGTCCTAGCTTTAGCGGTTCCTGAAATTCCTGTTAGCTTTCAGTGTATTTATATATAATCCCACATATCCAAAGGAAATACATACACATTTTTTAAAGAAGAGAGATCTTTTTTTTCTTTAACGAATGGGAAAGTAAAGATGATTAATTTTATTTATTTTAAATTGTTCAGAGTTGTGGGGCACATGTGAGGATCTGCTACATAAGGAAGTTGCATGCAGGTGAAGGTTAGGCTTCTGGCGGGTCCTTAAAAAGAAATATCACTAATAAGGCATAGATCATCACTTTATTGTGGAAGCTTTATAAGAAGTGCTAAAGCCAGAGGAAAGACTCAGACAGTCTCTGAGTAATTAATGATTACTCAGGTTAAATTTTACTGCAGTAATCATTAATTTACTGCAGTAATCCAACTACACTCCCCAGAATTGACCTTAAAAAATATAGTTCCTAGGAGTAGGAACGTGGGGCTGCAGTGACAGAGATCCAGTCTGACCATTTTTTCCAGCTTTAGCAACATAGAAATGGGCCTGTAGACCTCCAGAAGACTCTTTCACATCAGAGATGCCAGGAAATAGGAATTAGATTTAAGGCAACAAAAGGCTTTTAGCAGAACTATTAAGAACCCAGGGCATCCCTGATTTAGGATACCAACTTACCATTGATCCTTTTGTTTTCCTATTTATTTATCAATACTTTACATGTTTACATAACTTAAAACGTCCTCAGCTCAGGGCCAAGAGCTGTGGATACCACACTGCACACACATACCCTTCCATCAGCATAGAGAAAAGGCTGCTCCATTGCTGGTTATAGCCCTCAAACCTCTGCCTCCTCTCTTCCCCACACAGAGGCATGTACTGTGTTTTATATGAGTAATAACATAGCCTGGCATCTGAGTCACCCTTCTGCTTTCCCTTTTAGAAAGAATCACTTCAAGCTGGGCTCAGTGGCTCAGCCTGTAATCCTGCGCTTTGGGAGGCTGAGGTGAGTGGATTGCCTGAGCCCGCGGGTTCGAGACCCACCTGGGCAATTTGGCGAGACCCCATCTCTACAATAAATCAAAAATTAGCCAGGCGTGGTAGCGCGCGCCTGTAGTTCCAGCTACTTGGAAGGCTGAGGCAGAAGGATCGCCGGAGCCTGGCAGGTCGAGGCTGCGGTGGCCGGGAGCAGCCACTGCACTCCAGTCTGGGTGACAGAGTGAGACTCCAACTCAAAAAAAAAAATAAAATAATCACTTCAATTAAGTTGACTCTTGATCCATTTTATCCAAAAACTACTTTAATTTAGGAAAGTATGAATCCACAAAAATAAAAATAGTTGTCTGGCACCTTTTTTCTTAACAGCCAATTAATTTTATAGTGGCACAGAGTTAAGTTTTGTATAAATAGATATCCTTCCCTGCACTTATAAATGACTTCTTTAAAAATAACTCACACCCATGCCACCTCTACCACCACCACAGAGGACTGATGTCTGTGTCATGGGAACCTTTGGGTTTTTTTTTTAGAAGGTGACATTTTTAAATAACCCTGTCAGTCAGAAGTAAAAGAGAGAGAAAAGATTTTATAGTACTGTAGCATTCATAGTCTGACCCATAACAGTGAATTTTTTTCACTTCAGTTTGTTATCCTATCGAAAACTATTTGGGCTAATAGATTCTTTGGATTTTGGTTAGCTCTTTTGCTAATTCTAGGTAAAATACCTACTTATTATTAGAAAATGTGTGAAATACAGAGAAACAAAAGAATGGAAAGAAAATGTCCCTTGACCCCACCATCTTTACAAAATGTTTGTAAGTAGCCTTCTTAAATGTATGTGTTTATTGATGAGATCATCCTTTACGTGTACTTTTATAACCTGTGTACTTTCTTTAGGGGGGGATGTGGGAGCAGGGGCATTGTGGTGCCGTTGGATCTGGAAAGTTTGAACTATTCTGAACTTTTAAATCTGCTGTGAATGAGCTCAGTAGATTGTCTCTAACCCGGGACCAAGCAGAAATGGGCTGTATCCTAGGAATGAGGACAAGGGGTGGAGAGCATGGAAGACAGTGTTGAGAACTTGAAGGATGGCACTGAAGGACTCGGTGGCATGCTGAAGCCACACACCTGAGGGCTGGGGGCAAGATGTTCACTGAGATGTGGGAAATGCCTGAGACATGAGCATTTTAGACCATATATGTGGATTTCATAGATGTGTAGTGAAAAGCAAGCCCTCAGCTCAGCCTTGAACTGGCAGCCATCCAGTCATCACCAGGAGCTCACTGGAGATGACTGATGATTTTTATTTTTATTTTTTTTTTGAGTTGGAGTCTCACTCTGTCACCCAGACTGGGGTGCAGTGGCCACTCCCGGCCACCGCAGCCTCGACCTGCTGGGCTCCAGCAATCCTTCCGCCTCAGCCTTCCAAGTAGCTGGAACTACAGGCGCGCACTACCACACCCGGCTAATTTTTTAATTTATTGTAGAGATGAGGTCTCACCAAGCTGCCCAGGCGGGTCTCGAACCTTGGGCTCGACTGAGGATTTTTGAAAAAAGTCCTCCAAAGGGCTAACTGGGCTCTCTCAGCTGTGTCTCGATCTTCACTGGAAAATGTCCTTCTTGGACCATGTTAGCTTAGCTCCTTCCAGAGGCATTCCCAAGTCTGAGATGTGGTCTTGGCAGGCATTACAGAGGCAGCTTTATAAGGAATGTCTTTATAGAATCTAGTTACACCACTCACAATGCTATGGGCTTCTGTGGGCCAGCTACCCAGTTCGTTCTTCTTAGAGATTACTTCTCTCCAACTACTCATCTCCCAACAAGTTTTAATGTCTTT